GAAGTTCCCTTTAATGTTCAATGACTATGATTTCTCCCCCCACTAATTACTGCACATCATTTGAGCATGTCTGCATAGCCTGGTTTTCAGGCTGTAGGTGTTGCCTAGGCTGCAGCTGAGGCGCAAGTGCAGCAAGCTGAGGCCTACCAGGCTAGCTTTAATCTAATTAGTTTGGATAACAATATTAGTGGAGATGTGTTAGAATGAACTTCAGTAAATAAATATATGCTGATGTGAAATCCTGCTAGTAATCATCAGGGCATCCCTGGGTGTCCAGCAACAACAATGTACAGATTTTAAAACTTCCCAAGGGCTATCGAAGCAACAGCTTGGCAATCATTTCAAAGCCCCAAATCATCCAACAGATAGTTTGCTGTTTTCCTTTAAAACTAATTCAGAGTATTATACAAATTAACTGCTTGTCAAGATCAAATTTCAGCTGAAAAAAAAAAAATAATTTTCTTCCTGTGGTTTCCCAGTTTTTAATGATTTGCCTGGATGGCTATCTTGAGTACAGCCAAGCCCTCTGTGTTAGCTGGCTCTGTCATAGCAGTCATGTCTGTCAGAGGAGGGTTCTTCTGTCTTCTTACTGCTGCCTACAGAGTTTCATTACTGGTAGTCTGAGTATCACTGTTTGCATTCTTGAATGATAGAAGAGTAACACAAGTAGATGAAATTGGCTCTGGATCCTGAGTTACTGCATATTCTTTTGTGAATAGGAGTCAGCACACTGGCTTAATGAGAACAATAAGAAAATTAACTCAGAAGTAGAAAAACTAATTGGAAGACAAAAGCTGGTTACTGAACCAGAGGATATAGACCTTTAAAGCTTTAAAATCAAAAGATAAGTTATGAGAGTAAGTAGTAAATGTAAGTTAGGCAAACAGCATAGGAAAAAGTTTGATCATTATTTTCAAAATAAGAAAATATACGTGGTGGGGTGGTGGGGGAAGATGGTTGAAAAACACGTACTTGCTCAGTGTGCAAGGTTCATCCTTCCAGTACTGGTTTATTTTATCGTTCTCTAGATGAGCATTACTGGATAAAAACATTGTCCCTTTTGCTTTTGTACTTCTGAAAGGTCTGGAAAATTTGCTCTGTGTACATGCCCAGGCAGTACTATATGAAGTACCAGTGGATGTTAGTATTAGAGCTGCACAGGGAATAGCGCCCACGGGCTCCTCCTCCACAAGTCAGGCTTTGTAGGGAGTAATAAGCAGTCATTGGAAAGGATTAGTGAATACTGGGGGGGAACCACCATTACCAGGGGATCCTTCAGATAAGATTACATTCTTCTTGCTCCTGCTTGAACTCACAGGGAGACAACTATCTTTCTTGGGCTTGCAGATGAACTCCTGGATGCCATAATTTGTCCAGTCCCTTCATTTACAAGTAAGAGAGAGTTGCCTTGTGTTTAAACATACGACAAGAATTAAGAAGTCTTGTTCTGAAACAGACTTTCTGCATGACCTTGAACACTTAATCTCTCCTTGCTTGTTTTCTCATCTGTAGAACAGGGATAATAATGTTTATCGACCATACAGGGGGCTGTGAGGCTAAATTGTTATAAAGCACTTTGTCTTAGTTAAAAGGTTTTGTAGAAGTATGAAGCATAGCTATTTATTATTTGCATTTTGTTCACTTTTTATTTATGCCCTATCAATTCTACTCCAGTTTTTTCTTCAAAATTATTTGTCTTAAACATCTCATCTGGGAGAAGGAAAAATTGATAAACACTAACAATTGCAGAGAAACTAATGTTTGGAAAGACTGGTCTAAATTTCTTCATTTCAAATTTTCTACTTCACAACTGACATGTATATGGATCTTCTTGAACAATGTTTCTTCTCTTTGCTGACATTCCAGTGTTGGGTTTTTTTTCTTTTTTATATGATGTTGAAGGTATCCATGTGCTTACACAAATTGGCAAGAGAATGCACTCCTGCTCGTACAATTTAACTTCCATTTCTTTGATTATATTTTCTGTTTATTCTGTTTTAATCCCGTTCCTCTCTTGCTGAGACAGAGCAGGCATTGTGCTGTGCTGGATCTAAGTACAGTGAACCTCAGGTACACTGAAACCATTGACTTTTTACCTTATGTAATTTCTAAAATGTATTTTCTTTCTCTTAGCTGTGAGACAGGACAGGAATGTGGTTGATTTTGCCACATTACTGAAGTACTGTGTAGCTAAGTGCTTCCAGAACATCTGATGCCACTGTTGTGTTCTGCTGAACACTACAGCCTGCTGAACTATTTTCCGACTTCTGAAAGGATGAGATACGAAGTAGATTATCTAACACCCAAATGCTGGCTTGTCTGAGACTTTAGGTACGGATATGATTTAAATGCATGTATCGAATCTGTAAAAAGTGGCAGCACTGCAAAAAATGAAATTATAGGTTGCATTGTAGGTAAATTCTATGGTGTAACTACTTCAGATGAGTTTGAAGTGCAGTTTCCTGTGCTTGCTTCTGTATTCCTATTTTTCTGCTCTTTGCTATCTCTTAGATAAATTGGGATTAACTTTTCTATGCCTCATTGCTTACCCTAGTAATTTCCTGAATTTCAAAAATGTCATTGAACATGTCTTTGTTAAAAATAATAATAAGCTATTAAGCTAGCTTATTCAACATGCTCAAGTCAAAAGATATGTACAACCATCAAACTGCAGTGAATGAGTGGATTTTGTAAGGAGGCAGCTTGTTCATTGGAATTTGTTGAGCTCTACAGAACAAGCCAAGTTTGAAGAAGAAAATATGTACTTAATGACTTTGAAGTTATAAAATTGGAAGGGCTTTTTTGATGAATATGGAGGGTGATTTTCTCTTCTCTGTTACAGCTTAGACCATTAGGACAAAGATTGACTGTAAATGTTAACATGAAATTTTCTGAGGCCTGGCCTCTAATTCTGCTTCAGGAGGAGGTGGGGAAGTGAGGTTAAGAAATTCTAACACTAATTCCGGGTTTGATTTAAATGCTGATTTATTTAATCTTACTCTGTTTCTGTAAAAATCCTGCCGTGCAATGACTGTGAAATTTCTCAATGTTTATAACACATTATAGAAAACCAGTTGCCAGATTCTGGTCAGAATGCCCCCCACACATTATCAGGTTCCTCTTAGTCCTGATGGAAAACGTAATAGCAGTGATTGGGAAGTGTCTGTATCCTTGCATACCATTTTCCACACTAATGGTGTGGCTTGAAAAGAAACTAATTTTGTCTACTGACAGAAGAGCATTGGTTAAACCAGGAAATTAGTCTGGATGTTCAGAGAACCAGCTGAGCTTCTAGGTGTGGTGGAACATTTTCCCTTTTGTCATTGAGCAGCATTCCCTCCAGCTGTAGCCTCACATGCACCAGGGCCAATGCTCTCCACCTCAGACACTGAAGCGGTGGAAGTGCTGTGCTCCATGCATAATTTTGTGTTTTGCTTATGTAAATGGAAAATGTGATGATGGTTTATTTTGCTGAATTTGGACATAGTTATGCAGGATGCCAATATTAGTGAGACATCCCCTCAGGCTTTAATGTAGCTTAATTGGAATGACTGCTGCTTCCTAGAAGTTCAGTGGCATTTAATTGGTTAAAGGGATGTGAAATGATGCGCTTTCAGTTTTATAATACACGTCTTTACAGAAAGATTAACACTTAGGGTAACGCTCTCACTGAATATTTATGTGACCTTGCTGAAGTCTTAGAGGCCCTCAGATTTTAATGCATTTGCAAGACTGGATATTGAATGAGTGAAGAAAAGCATGGTATATGCAAAGGGATATTTAATCCTCCTGATTTCTCCAGATTGATCTTTTGAGCAGGAAAAAGAAAAAAGAAAAGAAAGTTTAAAACATAAAAATTTGAAACCCTTCACATTCTGCCAAGCGGTCTACCCCTTTTCTCTTTGCCTAAGTGAACTTTCTTTTGTCATCCAGGACTTAGGAAAATGTTTCTGTGATTTCACTGAATTTTCCTGGAAACATTTTCAGGTTAAAGTGAATACATCTGCTTTGTCTGAATATTTTTAATTTATAATGCTTACATATTTAATAACTATTAAATATAAATATCTAGATGAGCGGAAGAACTTTATTTGGGATGTAGGTTCTTTCATTAGACAAGTTTTTGTTCTTCATATAACTGCAATAGTAACTACATTTACTAAAGACATAAGAGATTGTTAAAAGCAGGCCTATATAAATATTAAATATTAAGCTTTCTGCTGTTTGCTTCATAAAGTACAGTGTTTATCATAACAATACTTCATTTTTTGCTTTTCTGTTTTTAGGAACAGGTTTAATGTCTGAGCAATATTGTGTACACAAAATACTTCAAGAAGGTACAATTATTTTAAAAGCATTATTTGACTGAAGGTCAGGCAAATTAAAATATCAGTTATTATCTCTCAACAGATTTTACCTGATCAGTGGTGGAGTTCCTTTTATTATATGTGGGATTACAGCAGCAACCAATATCAATAATTATGGGATTGAAGGCAATGCACCATAGTAAGTATAAACTATCAGCATAAAACTGTTGAAGAAAATGTCATCTTTTTCTATGCTGACAAATGTAACTGACTTTATGAAGGGTACAGACATGCCATCTGGGATGACATTTGTTACAAAATTTTACTAAATAATAGCTATGAAAGAGCAATGTCTTAATCTGGGGTTTGCTGCTTCACCTCTACCAATTTGACTCCATTACTTTCAATAGAATCACTTTTCATTTGCAGAATTTCTCTTCATTTACAGTCAGAGTGTCTTGCAATCCTGACATAGCCCTGTGGTGTACTAGTGCATTAGTGTTCAGTATACCTCTACAAATTGTCCAAGCATCACATTGTTATTAATTCTTGGCATGAAACATGAGATATCGATAAAGTACAATAAGTCTTTCCATAAAAGCATAGCAGAAAGTGTATCAGACTGTAAAGTTAAATACATTGTGTGTAAAGATATTAGTAGTCTGCCAGCACTAATACTCTGAAGAACATCACTCTTAGTTACTGCTTTGAACATCTATTGTAATACATTTGAAACTAGTTATGTTCTGGGTAAGGAAAGTGGAAACAAAGGAGAATAGTTTGTAAGTGAGCATTTGGTTCCATAAAGGTAATTGAAATTTAAATTCCAATAATAAATCAGTACATACCACGGCTAACTGCTCTGCCTAAGGCCCAACCCAATTTATTCAAACTTATCCAATTAGACAATCACTTATAATCAACAGAATATTAAAAGACTCGATTATTTATGTTCATAAATGTGAGACATTTTTCATTTGGGCACAGTTACAGAGGGTATATTTCTTTAATCATGTTAATTACAGCAAATCAATACCTTGTACCACAGTTTGTACAGAAAACAAGGCAGAGGTGAGGGATGTTTATAAGACTTTTCGAATTCAACAACAGCATAGTGAGTTATATGCCTTACTCATTTTTAATAATATTAGTACAGTAAATGTAGATGCACAAACTTTAACTTTTTTTTATGGAACAGATTTTTAAGTTATCCATGATGGGATTCCACTTGAAATAAAAGCATCCCAAGAGACTCTTCCACTGGGGAGCATTCCATTCTCCACTTTGCATCAAATATGCAGCATTCAATTGTACTTCAAGTACTCACGTAACTTTGTGCTCTTTGCTTATCCAATTAAATACAGGTGATAACTTACCTATCTTTTCAAAAATATCTTTCAGGGAATCTTTTCAAGTGCATGTCTGACAGCAAAACACGTACTCCTTGGAGTATCTCTAAGATTATTAATAAATATGTATATGTTTTTGTTTAAGGTTCAGATTTTAACAATTTAAAAAAGTAATTCTGCAGTTGCTTGTGATAAATACCTACTAGGACTGCCTCTTTTTAGCTGAGATGTTCTCAGCCTGGGAGAAAAATTCATTCTGCCTTTTTTATAGTAAATTGCAGATGATTCCTGGCTTGACAATGTGGTATCAGAAGGTTCCTCACTGCATTGGAGTAAATGGCACATGCCTAAATGAGTATGAGGTGTCACAGTGTCACTTTTAGAATGGAATAGATCATGACAGTTCACCTGGTCTGTCTTCATGACCGAGTGGGAAATTACCTATATCCAAACCATTCCTGACACCTATTTATCTGAGGTGCTTTAAATGCTCTGATAATGTATAGACCAAGTTTTATTCCAACAGCTTATTATCCTAATTGTCCTAACAGCTAGGGAACTTTTTGAAAAATCTGATTTAAATATTTCTTGCTAAAGTTTAAGCCCATTACTTCTTGTCCTAGTCTGACAGATAAGGCAAGTAACTAATTCCTCTTTCCAGAAATCCATGCAATATTTAGAGTATAAGAACCTCATAACAGCTGTACTAGCTTATTATACCACCAGCTCAGTTCCCTGTCTGCAGCCATGGCTAAAAGCAGATCATAGAGACGAATAAAAATGAGGCAAATATTCCTTCTCCCCTTGACCCAAGTTCTCCCAGTTTCCATCTGGGATTCCATTAGCCAGAAGTGTTTTCTTCCTCCATGTTTATTTGATTAGATCACTCATCTTCAGGACAGTCCTGTTAGACTGCTGCTAAATTATGCAACTGACTGAGGCTTATTCAGCTCATAGCGCCTGTGAACTACTTTAAGCTGGTCTAAAACAATTACAGTTATATTATTTAAAGCCTAGCAAATAATGATCCATGCTACAATATTATGCTACCAGTGTATCCCAAGGAGACCATCAGTTTCCATCATTTTTTTGCGGACATTCAAATTGATGTGAATTAACTCCCAGGAATTTCAGAAACAGTGCAGAATTCAGAAATGGCATATATCTTTTGGGGCCCCTCGCTGCAGAAAGCAGTGACTGGAAGTATTTTTTTCAGTCTCTCTTATTACTCAGGCTGTTCTCTACTTTGGCAACAAGAAAATTGTGTAAGAACAGTCTTAAGAGTTTCTATCAGTGTTTATTGATACAAACCACTGAAATCTGTACATTTCTATTGCTCACACAGATTGTATAAACTATGCCTCATTTACTTTTTAATGAAAGTATTAGCACTGACATTTTTAATAGTAGAAAAAAGGGTTGACATAAATGGTCTTATACTTCACAGCAATTCTAGATTCTAAACTGGCTACATTTCTGGGAAATTTTCACCTTTAATATCCTGTAAATTATACTAGACATCTTCTTCGATTAAAAAATATGAAATGATGCCTCAGCTTAATTGATATTAAAGACACATTCCCTGTCTCCACAATGAACATATCAGAACTTCTGAGACACTGTTACATCATACATGTTAGCCAGAAAGCCTAATTTCGTATCAGTCAGTTGTCCATCACATCTTGTGGGCTATACCTTGTTCTTGACTCTCTTTTTTTGTTGTTTTCAGTTGCTGGATGGCATGGGAGCCTAGTCTCGGTGCTTTTTATGGGCCAGTAGCATTCATTGTGCTAGTCACCTGTGTTTACTTTCTTTGCACGTATGTGCAACTGAAACGCCATCCTGAACGCAAGTATGAGTTAAAGGAAAAGACAGAAGATCCTCAGAGAATGCCAAGTACTGAGGTGGGCCATGGTCATATTACAGACTCTGTTTCCATTCCCCAGGCAACCTGCTCCATGATTTCTTCTTCCTTATTGGAAAATGAGCATTCATTTAAGGCTCAGCTTCGAGCTGCAGCATTCACTTTGTTCCTTTTTACTGCCACTTGGACCTTTGGAGCACTTGCAGTATCTCAAGGTCATTTCTTGGATATGATATTTAGCTGTCTTTACGGAGCCTTCTGTGTGACCTTGGGGCTTTTCATCCTGATCCATCACTGTGCAAAACGAGATGACGTGTGGCACTGCTGGTGGTCCTGTTGCCCATCTAGAAGAAACACCTACTCTGTCCAAGTTAATGTGCGCCCAAAGGTTAATGTCAATGGTGACACTCAAGTTCATGCACCTTGTCTTCAGGAATCGCCATGTCCCAACAAATCAGGTGTATTTAATCATCCAGCAACTAGCCACTGCAAACTTACTAACCTACAAGCAGTTCAAAATCACGTTAACTGCCTTTCGCCTGTGACACCATGTTGTGCAAAAATGCACTGTGATCAGCTACTTGATGATGAAGCTCACATTCATGTCCACAACGAGGGAAGCTTCAGACCCAATATGCACATTCATAGATGTCTGAAAAGCAGAACTAAGCCACGTTATTTCAGTCGGCATAGGTCTGCAGGTGAAAGAGAATATGCCTATCACATTCCTTCAAGTATCGATGGCAGCATCCACAGCTCACATACAGACAGTCCCCACAGTACGCATGATAGCCAGTCGGGTCACAGACGGGCCTGCTGCTCAAAAAGCGATCCATATCCTACTGTCAACCAGCCAGAAAGTAGCGATGCAAGTACTGTAATATATAGTTGTGCTAAAATGCCAGAAAGTGACACTGTGCACCATCCAGCTCATTTTGAAATGCATCCACGGACACAGTCATTGCCATTTAATACGACGAATCACAACGGAATTCTCAAGGGAAACGTGCATGAAGCCATGATATATAGCTCAGATAGTACAGGAAATATCAAAACTGGCCCCTGGAAAAATGAAACTACTGTGTAGTTCATGGGCCATCATAATGTATTTTTTCCCCTAAACCATCATTATTGTTGTTTTTATTCCAAACTAGCTAAGATGACATATTTGTGTAGCTCATCAGTAAATTGTACTTTTCCATCTTTATTTCCATTTTCTTAATAAGAGTCTAAGAGAGAGATAGTGACAGCTTTGAAGTGATGATATTTTTAAGTTTTAAAATTATTCTGAAAGATAATTAGGAATGAAATCTAGACAACTGAATATGAGAGGCAATATCCTTTTGTTACACAGAACACGGCTTTTTTTAGAAATGCATCCTTTTCATTCATTGTTTTCGCTTCTGTTCTGTAGTAACTTCAGACACTTTTTATAAACATATCAGCATCCTAAACTTTTACTTATTTATTTTTGTAGCAAAATATTATTACTGTGCCATGGATTTTAATCAAAAGTGACTATGGTAGAAATGATAAACAGGATTTTATAAAATTACAGCTTTTTAGATCTACAAAAGTGATACTGCCTCTAAAGATGTTCTGTAGCATATGGCCTGTAAAGTCGTGTAATGTACAGTCTCTGTTCTGTCCTTTTTCTTGTGGGAGAGAAGTGCTAGGTAATATCTCTGTTACATCTATGGTGCTGTATTGGTTGTATTTTGCATGACATATGTCAGGATATACCATTTGCTGTTTTCTAGTGTTACATGTGTTAAAAAAAAAAGAACAAAAAAAAAAGTGTTGTACAAGGCTGTGAAAAACCCTATTGATATTAATCTAGAGCATTATAAATCTACAGAAGAAAAAAATCAATCTGCACTAGTTTAAGTGGCACAATCCTTTGTATAAGGTTATATGATAGCTTTGATAAGGGTCCACTCTAATGTCTTTACAGAGCATGCACTACTCATTGTATGTGACACTGTGCGGTGTAATAGCAATTGTCTCAATGAGTTTTACACTTCTTTGTAAAGTATGCCTTTTGAACAAATCTGTAAGCTGTTTCATGGTAACCTTTCCACATCTTTTAAGGTATAGCAGTTTTATCATTAACTCTTTGAGGACTACAGTTATTTTCTTATAAGAAGCTTATTCTCGTTCAGAGAACACTGTATGTATGATACTGTCTATTTAGTTACATGATCAATGTAGTCCAGAATTGTCAGGAAAGAGAAAGTTCAGTCATTTTCCAAAAACACACCTTCTTAGAGTCCATCTATTAATTTCACCACTTGCTTTCTGAAAACTTATTTCTTCCCCTAGCAAATTTCAGATTGTCTTCATCCTTCAATGCAAATTTGACCTTCAGAGAAGTTCTTTATGTTCATGATTTCTGCTGAACTGTAGGGCATTGCAGGGTCAGTGCCATTCTCTATTAACAAGGCTCTTGGCAAGAAATTTTTTCATGTTTCCATGAACATCTGGACACAAAGCATCAACTCACAGTACAGAACTGCATCATAATTATCCGTATATGAAATAAAACTGCTTTTTTCAAGTAAGAAGGGTACATAATAATAATGGATTGCAGAGACTGAATAGGAGCATAGAGCTAAGAGAAAAATGTCTACAGGGGGAAGTTAGCAGTGCATCCATAAATAAGAGAAAAAGCACAATTCCGTAAGGCCACATGAGAAAGTTTGCTGTCGGGTCTTAACACGGCTTATGTAATTGCTACGTTGCTGCAGAGAGGAAATAGAAAATTCCCATGAGAGATCATCAGTCAGCAATTCTCTGTGTATATATTGCAGAAATCATCACATATTTTAGCCCACTGTTTCTGTTATTAGCAGTTTATTAGACTCTACCTTTTTTTATATATATATGTAGGAATTAATTTCCTAATAGTGTACATAAAGATGACAATTATAATTGTTAGAATGTTATAAAAACATGTAAGTCAGATGAATGTGTTCTGCAGTGTTGCAGGTGGGAATTAGTACTCAAAGGGTTAATGCTCAGTATCTGAGTGCAAGAAATCTTGTTTTTCTGTATTTTTGTAAATTTGAAATAGATATTGTAAACTCCAGCAGTGCAATGTATCCATCTCAGATTGTGTATTTTTAAAAGGTGAGCAAGAAGAATGCACTAGGTGGTTGTCAAGTTTTAAGCTAATATACAACAGTTTCATGACTGCTTCTTTAGCTAATACAAAATACAAAAATAAAAAGAAAGGAACGCCTGAGCTTTATTATGTATATGCTGTATATGCTTGAACTGTCTCTAAACTAAAATACAATCTTTTTCTTTGTTTGCATAATGAAATATTTTCTCTTTAATAATTGTTCTCTTTTACTATTATTTTTACTCATTCCACATAGACAGTGAGCCCTAAACAAGCATAGACATAATGTGAAATACCACTTATCTGTGTCTCAGCACTATGTATACGTATATTCTGTAATAGCAAAAACCTAGGAGGTCTGCAGACCATTATGCAAAATATTCCACACACACAGCCAAGTGAAACACTCACTCTGCAAGAACCCACTCGGTGAGCTGCTTTATTCAGCTTGTGTTTTAATCACCTCTGTTATTTAGTCTGAGAGGCCAGGTTCATCCTCATAATGGCTTACAAAGAAGTAAATAGGTGCTGCTTTCCACAGAATATCTTATGTGATAAAACTCTCTGGAATTTAAATGTAAAATATTAAAACACTTTTCTTATTGTGTTAAAAATTATTTAGTGAATATTTCTGGGCTAATTTGGAGGAGATGTGTTATGCAATAATCTGTTTGCATATTATTTTTTCAGAAAATATACAGTATAAATACAGAGTAGGAGAACATGATATTAAATAAATATAAAAATGTTTTGTAACATCAAATTTGACCAAAATGCTTTTTGTGCTTTTGATTTTTTTTTCCCTTAAGATAAATGAGATAATTTCAATGCTTTGGGAGTTTGGCTTTGTTTTATTGTGGGGGTTTGGTCAATTATAGTCAGTGAACCATTACTACTTTACCTGATTTTCTTTCCTATAAAAATAAGTCAGTGAAATAACCAGAGTGTAAGATATATCTTGTCCTAGTAAAGTCCTCATGGACTTACATGTGTAACATGTTTTAAAGTCAGCATTGGTTTTGGTGATTCATTGATGACATAAAAATGACTGAATGGATTTTTACTGTTCACTTTTTGTCTGAGATTAAGCAAGAGAAATTTCATCCCAAACAGGTAATTTTTGGAGAATGATGCAATCAACAGGAATCCAAAGGGTTGTTATTACAGTACTACCAGGATAAAAATATGTTCTGATGCTGTACAGTTCTCTGCATATATAAATTCCAGTTTCCATGACCAAATTTCAGATCATGTATGTGACCCCATATTAAGTCACATAGACTGTTTACAAGAAGAATTCCTCCCCAGCCTTACATTAAGAGTTTTGGAGTGAAAATGAACCACATGGTTTTGCACATTATACCTGATCATATGTGTGTTGTTCCCACGCAGTCTGTTGGTTGCGTCTGTACTAATATAGCTGAGCAGTCGCTGTCAGTGGCCATAAACACGTTCTCCTTCACCCCACAGCTGCCTGCCAGCTACCCTGTAGGCACAATATCCAGATGTTAACCCACCAAGGGAGCCTTCACTGTGGCTTTAAACCAAAAGCAAAGTCTGTGTTTAAAGCAAAGTCAAGGCCACCTTTGATAGACAACACAGGCAGTTGGGTAGCCTCCACTCCAATGCTAATGGCTGAAGGCAGATAAACCTAATGGTCATGGCTTTAAGCAGGATAACTCCTCCTCCCTCCAGCTCTCTGCGAGAAGTACCTGTTTAGTAGGTCTACTGCATACAGGCATCTGTCAAATCCAGGCAAAATTAGTCAGCTTACCTACATTTCTGGTTAGCTGAAATGAAGAGTGAAACAGCACAATGGAGTTAATGATCAGAAAAGCCCAAGTTGGAAGAAATTGTTCTGGATGCTCTGTCACAAAGCTGCTTCAGGTTCATCATGTGTGGGAACATGGGTCTAAGCATCCTCGATGGCCTGAAGATCTGAAATTGGTCTTGTGTAGGTGCTACAAAGGTTCACAAAGCTGATTGTGGCCCCACAAATTTGGATGTAGCTTCCACTGTAAAATATATGCCTTTTTACAATTAAGAGGTCATCTGACAGGAAGATTGTCCATTGACTATCTGGGGAAAAGAAAGCTGCCATCGGGATCAGGCCAGTAACCTTTTTAACATAGAATCTTCTTTTCATGGAAACAGAAAAAAGGCAGATAGGTATGGTTCTGTGTAAAGGAGACTACCTGTACTCTCACCAAATTTTGGTTGCCTCTGATAATAAATGTCAGGCTGATGGAGACATTAGCAGAATGTCCTTACCAGAACACAAATTCAAGTTCCTGTACTAGCATCCTCCAGTTCAGAAAGAAGCTGTAGGAGGCAGCTGCATCAATCCAGATCCATCAGCTGGGTTTAAAGGCTGGCTGGCTGACTTCAGTCAAGCAATTTCAGTAGTAACTTGGTGCTCTAGGCAGCTTTTACCTAACTCTACAGAGAAGGGAGCTTTTGGTTGGTGATTTTCTTTTGCTGTGCCCAGCTGACCATTTTCTAATTGGCAATTAAATTGCTAAGAAGAAAATTTATTCTACAAATTACCTCAACTACTTAAACCATAGACTTTTTATTCCCTGTTATGAGGTCTGTAAAGGTGCAAGTGAATCCCTATTCCCTTATCCTGCCAGTCTATTACCTGTTTTTCAGGAGTCAAACAAGGAAGCATCAGTAAATCAGGGCAGTATTATAGGGCTCACTTCTCTGCAAAGAGGGTTGGAATTCGATTTATAAGAGCAAAAGCAGTTCAGCCCCAGACAGATATCCTGCCTTAGGGTTATGCAGCTGGCCATGCCTGAGAGGTAAGGGAGATCATGTAAACATGGTGTCTGTATACTCCAGAGGTACTACTGTCTCTTTACATTTTGATCTGTTTGAATTCTGTTGTGTCTTGCAGTCTGAACAACAAAACGACTGACCGTTCTCATCAGCCTGTCACTTCTTCAGCTTTTCCCCCTACC